TGAACACCAGCCCCCAATCTAGACGATTCCTCCTACTGGCCTCCCTCTGTCAATTAACAGACACTTCATCATTCCAGCTTCTCAGATCAAGCCAAGAGATCCTTGATTTCTCTTTTTTTCACATTGCTTATCATCATTGTTGGAAAGTTCTATCAGCTGTGGCAGGAAATGTGAAATGTGTCCAAATTCTCATCAAATTCATCTCTATTATCCATCTCAAACCTCCATATCTCTTGTCTGGACTGTCATATTTAAGCAGTCCTCCTGCTTCAACTTTTTTCCTACTCCAATGTTTTCTCCACAACACAGCTGGAGTGATCCTTTTAAAACTTAACTTATTATGTCATATCTAGGTTTCAAGAATGTGTCATTTTCATTAATTTATACAAACACAATACTCAATAATACCACTTACAGCCGCAGGGTGGACAAAGACTGCCCACCGCTAAGGAATATATTGGTATAAAATTTTGGAGCTGAACTTGGTGTCAGCTGGAAGACCCTCGCCTTCTGTGAGGATCCCATTTCTAAGACAGCGGTCCTAGAATCTTTCCCGTCAATCTGCACGTGAAGGTCAAATTTATTTCAATCCCATATTCAAATTCAGAAGCCAGAATGTAGATTCATATAGCATCAACACCTTTATAGAGTCCATTCATTACATGTCGTAATTGCCACAATCTACGTTTTCAATCCACACAATCGTTAAAGTTTATATCTCAAGCCTTGTCACTACAAAAAAGAACAGAGAAGCTTGAGCAGCATCAGAGAATGGGATGAGAGCAACTCAAAGCTGCCTGGCTTTGGCCCGACTCAGTCCTGCTGTGGAGTATACCCACAGGAGACTCTGAACTAGAGATGGAATGAATCACCCCGGAGCCCTTAGACAACCCCTGTGATCACTCCAGCTCCTACCGAATAGCTTACACACAGAACCTTCTGGAACTGCATTGAACTCCAGTGGGTCGCCTGGCCCTTCCACCTCTCCTCCTCCTCTCCTTTGCTATCGAGTGTTACCATTCCACTGAGCGCTTATAGTTTGTGAGTTATGTTTTCACCTCGTTCAGATGATGAGTAAACAGAAGACAGGAAATCTAGGAGTATATGCTGAATAATAAAGCCAGTTCATCTTTTGCAGCCATCACAAATTCAACTTTTGACATAAGGACTTCATAATCCTAAATTTACTAAGGGAGGAAATGAATGATTCTGTGAAAAACCCTCAAAACTATTTCTGTAAAAACTAGTCTAATGTTGCTTCAGGCTCTTCTTCATTGAAATGTTGTCACTTTGCCTTGTGGTACATTTCTAAATGGTTCCTGCATCTTAGAAACATATGTTTATGAGTCAGTGACTGAAAGACTTACTTCTATTTTTTTAAACTTTAATTCTACAGATTAAAAGCAAGCACTGTGATAAAATAGCATTTGTAAACTCTGCAATGAGCCATGTTTTCTGCCCAATACTAAAGATATTTCTATCTTCAGCTACCGAAAAAAGATGCTTCTATCAGAATTTTAATATCAGGTATCTTTACATCTTTGTTACACATAAGAGCATTTCTTAGTAAATATCACTGAATGTAAATCACCCAGCTAATATTTAAATAGATAATAATATTAATAATCCGCTGTGAAGCTATGATTTCAGTGGAATGGCCCTGAGCTCAATCCATCTTCTTTTTGATGAACTGATTTCCTCCAGTAAAATATATATCTAGTTTTCCTTTCTAAAGCCAAAGTCTGAAGTTCACACTTGATCACAGTTGAGCAGCTGTACTTGGTCAGTGCACTGAGGACTGGGCACTGGGTATACAAAGTGCCCTTTGGATACAGCCTTTAAATTCAGCCTAGATCTATTTAATTAAAATAAAATGCCATAAGATCACTGACCACAGTATTTGAAATGACAAATGTACTTACTCTTTTAGTAGTGGTAAGTTTAAAAGGACGAATCTTTACATTATCTGTTTGGGTGCTTTGCAACAGGCATTACTCCAATAAAGGCTACTTAAATGACAGTAAGCTTCTAAAATAGTAGATAGTACATTTCTAAAATGATAGCAGAAAAATTATATATGTATTCAAAACTCATTATTATAACATAAGGTAATTTTATACTTTTATTTCATTAAAAACATTGAAAAATAGAAAAGAAGAAAATGAATGCTATTTCAGATAGTAGTCCCATTCTATTTAGAGGAAAAGCAAAATAATGTGTTTAAAGCTTGAATATTTGAAGGGTTTCGAAAGTGTTGATAAATAGGTTCTATTTTTTTTTTACTACAAATATACTGTTCTCAACATCACCTATTAACAATATAAATTTTATATATGCTCTTCACCCATTGAAATAAAACTTATGTGATATTTTTCTTTGGTAATAATTGAGTCTTCCCACAATTTTAAGAAGGCACTCATTCATACTACACATCAAAATAAAACAAAGGAATGTCAGTGTGTTTCCAATACCATTTCCAGTCACTTTACATATTTCACTTGTGAATAAGCAATATGAGGTGAAATTTCCTTTGAGAAATCAAAATATATCTTCTTTGAATATGAATACAACATTCAAGAAAATAAAAGAGAGAGGACAGCATAAGAGTTGAATATGAGAACAGCCAATTTAAATGTAAAAACTGCTTATTTTCAGTAGCAGTTTCTTGTTTCTATTCCCAAAGGCAGGAGTGGACCACCTGAGAGATGTGATTAGCTGGGATTTACAGATGCTGGAATTGATCTGCCTGTTGTCTTACCGCCTCTGTCCTGCACTCTATTACCCCAATGCCCATTCCAAACCATCCTGCTAACTCTTGCCAGATTCACATTCCTGAAATACCAGTGCAAATTGTTTGGAATCCTGGCTCCACTTACTATATCTATGGCCTTAAAGAAATCATTTCACATTTCTGAACATCAGATCCCTTTGTGTGTTAAAT